AGAATAACCAAAATAGGACATTGGTGGGCTATTCAGATGCTGATTATATGTTCGATTCTCATAATGCCAGATCTCAGACTGGTTATGTTTTTCTCTGTGGTGGTATTGCAACCTCTTGGAAGTCGGTCAAGCAGTCCATAGTTACTACATCTACAAACCACTCAGAGATAATTGCTTTATACAAGACTTTGCGAGAATGTGTATGATTAAAATCTTTAATCCAACATATCCGTGGGTCATGTGGAGTTACAAATGATATAACATCCACTCTCCTTTACAAGGACAATACAACTTGTGTTTTACAAATGTGTAGTGGGTATGTTATTGGAAGCATGACAAAACATATCGCTTCCAAATTTTTTACGCACATGAGCTCCAAAAAAACGGTGAGATTATTGTACTAAAACTATGGTCTAACAAGAAGTTGACAGTCCTATTCACCAAATTCCTTCATACATCTACTTTTGAAAAATATATTTAGAGTATTGGTATGCTTGAATTGAGAAGACTATTGTCTTCAATGAGAGGGACAAACTCAAAATAATTCTGAAAATTATATAATGAAGACCAAGTGTTGCACTATTTTTTTACTTAACTAAGTTTTTACATTGGATTTATTAGTTAAAAAATTTTTATGAGGCAACTAGTAAAAATCAAATGAATTTATTAAAATCGTGTACTTTTTCTTCCTTGACAAAATTTTCCCTTGTCGGGTTTTTATTAGCAATTTATTAGTAAGATATTTAATTCACATATATTAATGGTCAATGAGGAGTGTTTATAAATCAGGCTTTAAATTTTGCTTACAAACTCTATAAAAGGGAAGACACCGGTGAATAAAAAAGATACATTTTATTCATAGTTTAAAATGGCGACGCCATGGCGACGCCTCGAGGCGAGGCGACCGAGGCGAGGACCATATCGCCTCGCCACTGCCTGAGGCGACCCTGTTCGCGAGGCGCTCGCTTCAGGTTGCCTTGGCTCGCCTTTTCGCGTGGCGAGAGGCGCCAGTGAGGTGCGCCTCGGCTCCTTTTTGAAAAAAATAAATTAATACAGATAGAACTCTTTCTTTACTTCATCTCCCAGATCCACGAAGCAAAAGAATTTCAGCGAAAAATCCCTAAATGGCTTCTCCCCAAACTAGAACTAGGGTTTCTGCGAAAGAACTCCTTAGGCTTCTCAGATTTGAAAATTGCAGAAACCCTCGGTCGACCCATCCCATTTACGGCCTCCTCTGAACTCCGACCACCATCTCGCCGCCGCCAAGACGGTCGGTGATGCGTGCCTTTTCCTTTCTTCTCCTTCTCCCTTTTCTCTGTTTCTCGTTCCCACCGCCTATCTTTTTCTTTTTTTCTTTACTTTTTTACTTTATTTATGTTTACTAATTTTGTCAATAGTCAAAGGTGACATTTTTCTTCATTTTCTTTTACTTTACACTTTTTATTTACCTTATTGCTAGTATTCACAATAAGTTTTAGATGCTTTTAGTAATTACAACTAAATTTAATTTATGTAATTTTTTTTTAGGATATTTAAGATTACTTTGGCACTTAGACTTATATATATATATATTAAGCTTTGATGGCTTGTATTCGCGAGGCCTCG